GCGGGGTTTTGGGTGGAGAGGTCGATGAATTTGATGAGGTGGTCGCGGAAGGAGGGGCTGCTCGTGATCCAGCCAAGCCGCATTCCGGGTGCCATTATCTTGCTGAAGCTGAATTGGGTCAAACATTAGGTCGTAATACAAGCATGGGTGTGCAAAGAGAGGGCTGACCTGTCGATGCGGATTACTCGACCGTCGACGTCCATAGACAGGAAGGATGGCGCGGGTGGTTTGAAACTCTCACTCCCAGATTGGGGGAGGTCGTACTGGAGAAAGAAGTACGGATCTGGTGATAGTCACAGTTTAACGGAGAGTGCTACTTGTGTGGTGAGAATGTAGACTGACCGTCTTCCAGTATGATCAGGTCGTAACGGTGCGCGATGTCATATATCTTCGTTCTTCTCTCCGTGTCCAAGGTCGATCCAGTCGGATTCTGACCGGACCTGGAGTATTCTCGCCGTAAGCCCTCGCCATCGTAGCGTCAACCCAAAGAAGGTAAGGTAGAAGTATTCTTACGGAGTGATATACAGGACATGAGGCCTGCGCCCTCGTTTAGGGTCCCAGTTCTCCAGAATGCGTTCGAGCTCCTCTGGGATGATCCCGCCTGCATCGATCGTGACTGGTACCCATGTAATCCCGTGCGCTTCGCCAGCAAGGGGCATTGGGAGGAACGTGAACTCGTCTGCGAGGAAGTGGTCTCCCGGAGAGCCGAACATGCGGAGACACTTCGTGATTGCATCCGCGTTTCCGAGTGTCATAGTAGAGACGTGGTTTGGCGCATTGTGGTACGCTTTGTTGATGTCATCGACGACGCGAAGGGCATCTTTGAGACCGGCGCCGTGGCCGTATTGCAACGAGCTCTTCAGCAGACGGCGCAGGTCGTCATCTTGTGACGTGCTGAGCACCTGCGAGGGCGCGGAATTACCGAGAGATGTCCAGTCCGCGACTGGGTCGTTGGTTGTGACAGTCGCGATCTCGAAGTCGACGCGGCGGATCGGGAATCGCGATGGATGAGGATCTCCTGCAAGACCGACGTGAGCACGCAAACGTATACACTGTGACCATGATGAACATGGTATACCATTTGCAAGTGTCACTAACTGCGGATTCTCTAGCGCAATACGCAAGACGTCCTTGAGTGGGTTCGTTCCTCGCGCGAGGGTCTCCGGAGACAGGTGATGAGTCAAGTCGATGAAGGTCGCCATCTTCCAGGTGGATCCGCGACTCGATGCTGCGAACGTAAGATATACTCTAGTTGTAGACTTCTCGCGCTCTCACAATGGTTTTGGGTCCCGTTGGCGAAGTTGAGGAAGGCGGCTGAAGATACGATGTAATATATACCCTATCAGATAGCCGGCGGGATGCAGGCTGCCCGACGAGTCATTTTCCGCGTACACATGCGCAAGCACCAAACGTTCGTCTAGTCTCGGCTTCGGCCACGAATGCATGACTTCGATCTCTTCTCCTACCCATTTGTTATTAACTGCACCGTGGCGGTCGCTTTATGAAGGTTGAAATGGAAGAGGCGGAGTTCCGGACCCCCGCTGGCGCGCACTTAGCGCCTTCGTCACCCTCACCGGTGGTCATATGAGATGCGTCGGACCTCTCACCCCACACAGCGTCCTTGAGCTTGCGATGATAGAATTGGAGGCTAAGGATTACGAAGGTCAAAGCGAGGGACTCACTGCAGGTCTCGAGAGACCTACTTACTGGCGGTAGCAGCGTAGCGCCGCTCGAATGTCTCACAGGGCCACTGGTCGGAAGAGAGCCTGTGGGCACGTCGGACTTGAGATAATTTAACACCCGCAGAAAGTTTAGAGATGGTATCCTCCGGTATCGCCTGCTGCCTATAGCTAACCGCTACGCTCCCCACATCTAGCGGCGTTATTAGCCATGTGCATGACATACTACCAAGATCTCCGTAATCTCGCAACTTCCTGGACACAAAACATCCCGGGCATCCTGCCTCCTACTTTGATGTTACACAGGCTTTGGTCTATAGATGATCTCTATCACACACTCGCTGAGACTTGTCGCCATATTCAGTGGGCCGTGACGACGGCGGCGATCATCAGCCTCACCTGCTCAACAACACTCGAATGAAGAAGTCTTCGTAAAATATGCTAGACACATGCATCTTCTATTTCTAGCTTGGCGTGCCAATACTCGTTGCGTCCCGTACTCACGAGCAAGCTTGGTTCACTTCCTCCGCTCTCAGCACGCCGGCATGCAGGTTCGCCGCCTGACCATCTCCTTGACAGAGCGGGAGAACTAACATGATCCAGTGAGCTCTCATTGGTGGCGTATATAGAAATGTAACTCACAATTACAGGTTTCTCAGGTTCTTGCTTGACATAAGCGATGCTTTTGACTCTACCATCTTGATGGGCACGATCACGGGGTGTGCATGCAACAGTGTACCGAGCATGAAGGTTTCGGAACCTCACCAAGTTCTCTCCGGGTATATCAAGCATCCCTATGGTCTATGAGACCGCACTCACCTATCTCTTTCCCCGTAGTCCTCCCTGACTCTCGGCGATGTCAGCTATATTCCCTCCTCTGGGCAAGATCATGGGAGCACTCCTAGTCGGGGCGTTCATGAGCTCGGTGTGAGTACCTCATACTGCGAGAGCGGTGAATTCAGTGCATGCGCTCGAGCGACTAATCCGCAGAGTTGTGTGGTAGCATCTACGGTGTAACTATACTCCAGGCATATCGCTACTTTCGTGTCTATCCTCGGGACAAGCGCATCCTCAAAGCCTTGGTGCGTTCTGAATTTTATAACTTCTTAGTCCTTCGCTCACCCATCACTAGGTTGTGACTGTCGTGTGAGTGTTTCTGCGGTACCGTGCATGCTCACGTAGTATAAAGGGCATTGGATACATGCGCCAGCGCGTTGAGCATTCACTCATGGTGAGTTTGCCAATATGTTCGGAGACGAGGACGTGTGCATTGACGTTGCATCGAGCTACGTTCACTTGATCAACGGGTTCGCTCAACCTGCGGATTTACTGAGAACAATCTGGTATATATGTGTCTCATCCCAGGCTGGCTTGGATTGACATCGTGTTGGCCATCCACAGGTCCATCAGTGTACGCACACCTGCTGTGAACGTCTTTTCAGGACTAAGCGCTGTGTTTCCCATTAGCTGTTTCCGGCGTTTTCGGTAAGTCGAACACCACATGTAGCCTGCAACCAGCCAAGGAGGTGTACTTGCTGATAATCGAACATTACTAGGCAGTCGTTATGTTGCCGTGCCAGAGGTACGTTGATAATCATTCCAGTGTCACATTGGATGTGCGCAGCCGACCCGCAGGATGGTGAAGCTTCTTTGCCTGGCGTGTCTGGCTCGTCGCGCCCAAGTTTAGAATCATTGTATTCATTGCAGTAAATCGTTCTTTACTATATAGCGTATCTCTACTAACGATTGCACTGCTAGGGGTCGTTGTGTATCGGAGAGCTTGGTAAGCGACACCGATATCCAAGCCCTGTCGCAAGGCTGATAGCTCACTATTTGTAGGTTTCTTCATAGGTGAGTACGCCTCGCCGTGTTGTTGTGGCTTCATTGACCCGATTATACAGCTTCCACCTGCCAAATGTGCCCATTCCCGTTTAGCCTCATCGTTGACCGTCCTCATGAAAGCCACAGTTTCATGGTCGAACTTCTCACGGATACCTTCAAAGCGACAGTAAAGCGCGATTACATCCGGAGGCGTTTCTTCTCCGCTGACCTGTAGGATAGCGGATGCTCGCGGCTGGTGCTTTATGTGGGACCATGGCGGACATCTCGCTCACGGTGGCGCTCATCTTCGCACTTCGACGGAGCCGTACCGGATTCAAAGGGTAAAGATTGATCTCATAATCCTTTACCCGGTCAACGGCTCAGTATGAGATGGCACAGGACGGACTCCAAGATTGACATCATGATATTGTACTCTGTCAACACCGGTACGTCTTGACCAACATTTCCGCTGAGGCACCTGATGTTTTACACACGATGAACAGGTTTACTTACAGGGTATGTGCCCCGCGAACGAGAATCCTCAATATCCCCCGCTCAGAAGGGATAACCATCGCCGTTAGGATCGTCAACTTGGTTTTCCTTGTCTTTGTGCGTCGTTCTCCACTCCATTACCCCGCAGCGTCTGCGACTAACAACGGCCTTTTGCGTTACTAGGCCTTCTGCCAGCCGAACACCTTGCTTGACGTCGCCGCCGGATTTGTTGCAGTGAAGAGTATGTCGCCTAGCTCCGCCGTTGTGCTCTGTAGGGTCGATGTCCTGACTTTGCTGTCCAGTGTATGCAACTACGTTGCTCGCCGCGTGAGTTGCCTTAGTGCCATACTCGGGCCGCCCGCGTGGTACTTGAGTTACTCACTCCTATCTTGATAAATGAACGTAGACTCAACTCACGTCAATTTATCACATCTCGCAAAGGAGACGGGGTATCCAGCACTCACATCGTCTTCGGCTCGGGAGGTCCTGACGCTCTCCCTCTGCCACTCGCATTGGATACGCATCGCTGGGTTCATCCTTGGCAAGTACGTTTACGTTCCCTTGACTGTTCGCATATTTTGACATATCTTCTAATGCCTCGTCGCTCCTGCCTACTCTCTGATACGAGCAGCACAGGCAGACCGACACTGAGCTGCATCTAGGCATCGCATCGACGACGATTCCGAGCTTGTACAGTGAAGAACGATCAGCCGGTTAGTGGCTCGATGTTACGTTGGACACTCTACCTTGAAATTGTCGCCGCTGATGTAACGTGACCGTATGGTGCATGTTGGCAGATCAATAGTGAAGCAGGTGTATGTGGTACCCACTCTTCGTCTGCCTAGGGAGACGTGCACGCTAGTCGCAGGACAGCGTCTCAGTGGTATTGATGTACTGTACCGTCTTCACGCAGACTCAAGTCCTCTTCAGCGTTTCATGTGTGCCACTGTCTATGCCCGGACACGTTTGTTTGATGATGATATTACTTATTTGGCTCTCAGCATGCATGGCTACCTGGCGCAATGGTAGCGCGTTTGGCTTCGATTGCCGGCGGCTACAACCTGACGGGACGGCACCAAAAGGCTGCAGGTTCGACTCCTGCGGTGGTCATTCCTTTTTTCTTGAGAACGTTTGAGACATCCAGACCCCCTCTTTAGCATGCAGAGCACATGTACAGCCCATTGCGCCGGGGAACTATGTTTTTGGTGCATTTTGGAGGTGAAATGGGCTCTGGAACCTGTAAGCGCTGACTAGTGCTGACTGCCTTCTGTTGCACAGCCTCCTCCGCTCCTACCTAGTCTCCCGTAGGCAGACGACCGATGTGCTCTATTAAGTGAGGGGAGGGCGAGCACAACGGACGCTCCTACCGACTCGTGCACTAATTTGAATATCTGGTGCTTTTCCTGCAGCTAAAGTGGAGAATAGGCATCGACGGAGACTGAGCGGTGGGCAAAGGAGGATGGGAGCCGATGCACACGCGGCGATCACAAATGTCATGCACCCAGGGCGTAGAGCTCACCAGGCAACTCTGGGATGTAGCTCGTGCGCGACAATCTGTCCGTTCGCTTGCACCGCAGTGCGCGAGATATGAGCTACTCTCTTGACGGTAAACGTTCTCCGATAGTCCCTCTCTACAGCCGCGCTTTTGACTCTGTATACAGAGGTCTAGCCAACCATTATGCGCACGGGCTCCGCTCTAAAGACACTGGCTCGCCAGATTCATCATTCAGTCATTGCCGCTCTGTTCATGTGTCCTCGGCCGGGCTCAGAAAGGAGCTCTCAAGGACATGATGGAAGTTACGTGGTCGCTTGGGGTGTCCCAGTTCATCGCTGCCAGTGTATAAGTGCGAGCCAGCTTCGTGTACAGCCAGATAGCTCGCCTCGTCTCGCCTCGTCTTAAGTCCTGTGCACACAATGTACTCCTTCACCGCTACCGCTGCCCTTATCTGTTCCCTCGTCCTGGTCGCAGCTAACTCGGTGGCGGCTGTTAGCCTTCCTAGGGCTCCTTCACCCGACCTCGCGAAGCGCCAGATCGTTGTTCCTACTCACGGATTCACTGCCGAGCCAGCGAACGACAGCATTATCCAGGGGGATGCGGACTTCGATTTCTTGTACTACAACTCAAACTACTGTCACTCGGGATACAGCCAGATCTCGGTGTACCTCTCGACGAGTGTGCCAACAAACGATGATGTGACGAACGAGGGCGGACTCGCCGACGGAAGTTACGTGGTCGATTTTGGGACGTACTTGATCGCGAACTTCGGTGAGTCTCCAATTCGATCGAGTGGTCATACGGGGTCATACACGTGAGATCTTGACCAAATCATGCTACAGGACTCCCTCCTATGCAGCCAACGCCGCCACCGACGCTCGTCATGCCGACTCTTGGCGACGTTGCCTCCGGAACCACGTTGTTCTTCTCGGTTGTCGAGACTTACAATGTCTGCCCGGTATGTGGTCCATACAGGCTGTGCCTAGACTTGCCGCTCACGCGCTGCACGCCAGGGCCATATTGAGTTCGAATATGGGCTTGAGACGACGACTATTGTCTATGATTAGTAGCCAGGTCCATTGTGACACTGCTAGATTCCCATGACTCTTCAAAGGATGCATTTGTATATTACAAGACGTCTCGAACCCGGTGCACGCTCTTCTCTTACCGTCAGCAATGGAAGCAATCTATGCCAGCCTTGGTCGTTTTGATGAGATGCTGCATCTGCTCACTAAGGAGCGTGAGTTAGTATGCACGGCGAGCATAATGCTCAATTGCACGCGAGACTCGTTGAAACACATCAGCAGTACCAGTCCGCCTGTCATCTTTGTAGGGCATCATGACCATTGAGCGACATACCCAAGTCATACAGGATATGACCTAGGAGAGTGGCTGTACCGTGATACCGATGATTCCTGCAACCGCTACCGCCGTCCCCTTTGGGTATCGATTATTCCTCCGAACCACTCTCCAACGACAATGCTTCGATCTCGAGCACTGGATACGATGGAGAAGGCGTCAGACGGGGCTCCTCAGAAACCCGGAAGTCAAGCCAGAGAGTGGGATGAACATGGTCATTCACTCTGCCAGCGTCGACAGAGATGACCAGGGATCGGAAATTGAACTGGGATCCAAGGCGGACGCTGTATCGTCGTGACGGGGTGGAGCCAGGATTTTGAGAGCGGAAGCTGTGGCCAAATACGCACGGCGGCGAGTCTGCGCCAGGTTCCCACATTTCTGGAGGACGGCGCCGTCGTTGGACAGATTCAGAGCCCATCAGTAGGATGCTTTGTGTGCATGATAGCGGTGCGCGTCACTACGTACGTGGACCGGCAATCTTGGCCATGAGATAGTCCTCGAGCTTCAAGAAGGGACCCGATGACTCGCCTGCCAGTTGGGCTGGAATCATCTCGGTGGCGTGACGCTGTTCCGGATCCAGAGCCAACGCCCGGATAACCTCGATATGGCATCCCCCCTCGGTGAGCCACCGCGCTAGCGACAAGTCTCCCATTGCTCCGAAGTAGCATCGCACAATGATGTGTATGGTCATGATACGCCCCGGCGTATCTGCTGATTCGTCCGCTGTCGACCCATCGTGCAGAACTTGCGCTCGGTGGTCGCATAGGATGAAATGTGCCTCCATGTGTTGGTCCTGGCCGGAACGGCACTGAAACGCGGTGACACTGATGCCGGCGATCTTCAGGCGGTGTTTACATAGCCATTGGAGATGGATAGACACGTCCGGGTTGGATGTAGGGTACTTCCACCTCAGGGCAGCGTCGGGATTGCGAGGCTTCACGGGCGCAGCAGGAGCAACCGGATAGATCAGCAATGGCTCGTGAAAGCGAAGTCGTGACATGCTGGCGCGTAACTCCTCCGGCCTAGACTGCAGTTCCCTGCTCAGAGGTAAGGCCACTATGCGAGAAGTGTTCAGGTGTATAACAGACCATGCCCCGCTCGCTTTACGTCTGATATGGTGGGCATTACTTCCCGGCTGAGAATTTCTGAGCCTCTTGCGGATCGACAGATGAAGCGCGAGAACACGCCCTTGGCCGTCTTTGCATCGCAGAATCGCGAGAATGTCTTGTGGGTGGTCATCAGAGCATGACGAGCTCTCTTCGTTGACGAGAGCGTCGGCGTCTTCGGTTGCTGGTGAGTGTGACACGGCCATGGCGTACCATACGAGGTGAACGCGCGCCCCCTCGGCTGCGAACGTGCATTCGAGCTCAGGAAGCTCGTCTGGAAGTATGGTGTACCCAAGCCGGTCCACGAAGTCCTCGTCAGAGATGGTCGTGACTTCGCTGGCCCCCGCGAAGTCGTTTGCAGATGCGGCGAGGAGACTCCAGGGGAGGACCGGAAACCACGACATCGACGCTTCACGCATGAGGGATTCGAAGTGCTCGTTAGGGCCCCCGAAGACGTCCTTCATCCAGCCCTTCAAAGCGGATCGGTCTTCGGGGGTTCGGCCTGCTCGCATGATGTCCACGGTCTCTTGGCGGCCCCAAGCGAAGATGCTCTGGTCGGGGATTGTCTTGATGATCTCCTGCTGCAGACGGACAAACGCGTCGCGGCCTTCGCCGTAGATCGTAGGCATGTAGACTCCGAAGATGCCCATCAGCGAGTAGGCCTCGTCCTCGACTCGTGTGGTGGTGCGCTTCGAGGCCCACGACATCCTACGGGCGACGCTAATGGATTCCAGGGAAGCGTCTCCTGTTAGAATGCAGGTATCGACACCGGTCGCCTGGAAGAGGACATAGGCCAGACTAGCGCGCGTATCGACGATGGACCAGCTCCGGGTCAAGAACACTAAACGCCGCGGCGCGACTAATTCTTGAAGGGTCCAGCCACGTGTATGCCAATGAGTGCGTTTGATTCTCTTGAGCATCTTGTGGGAGGGGCGATAGGGTAAGGTGCTCGGATCGTCGTACACGTCCGCCAGGTACGCGTAGCAGAGGTCAGCCAGGCGATAGTACCGGTACATCGAGTTAATCGCCTCGGTCAGCTCTGCGCTGCTGGTCTTGTCTATGCAGCACGAGTCCATCCAGGCGAAGTTGTGTCCATGCTTACGGGCCAACGCACAGAGGTCCTTAACCTTGGTCGATAGCTCCGGACTGTCAAGGATGGAGGTAGGGGTGCTCGGGTCTGCGGGGTTGCCTGAGGTGGACAAGAGCCGATCACGTACAGCCTTCTTCCAGATTTGCAAAACATCCTGATACGACTGCTCCCCATCCTTGTCCCACACGTGCGAGAGGATGGCATAGCGAATGGACTCGGGATCCTGATTCTCGACAAATTGTCCGGTGTGGGTGTCGAGAAGACGCATGGGTGCACGCGGCGTCACTGGGCGAGTCGTTTCAAAAGGGTATCTCAACCATCGAAGAGCAACGTGAACTCACCGGAGCGAGCAGTTTGTAGAAGCAAAGGCTGGGAATTGTAGCCAGAGGAGGATGAGAGCAGTGACCGACAGCATAGGCTGGGTGAGTAGGCATCGAGAGTGCCAGAGTAGCTCTGCGACCAGATTTATACCCAATGTGGGGACCGGCGTCAGATCCGGGAAACTCAGAGCAGACATGATCCATATCCTGTGTATGGGACGTTTATGAGGAGGCATATGCCCACGTATACGGATCCAGTGCCATTGACAGGATATCATTTTATACAGGCAGATTCGCATGAGGGCGCGAGAGAAACTTTGGCCGCAGCACTGCACTAGCATGACAGGCCGAGGTTTCCGTCCTCCATCATAGCCCACTGCCGAAGCGGAAGCAGATGGAGGATGCATCGCTCTGCGAGAGTGAGTATGCACTCGAGTATGAAGACGTACGATCACATCCGGAAAGAGCGCACCGAAAGTCGACATAGGGGCCGGCTGCACATTCGTCCCCTTGACGTCCTATGCGAATCTCGTGCACCGCAGACACGGAAACTCGATTCTCCTGCCCCCTATACGCACGGAAGAGACGCTAGAAATTTAGGACCCTTTGTGGATAGAAAAGGGACCAGGCCGCGGTCCTCACTCCTCTTTTGCTCATCACCTTTCAACACCGCCCGTACAACGCAGAATGCAAGCCGTATTCACGCGCCCTCCGGAGGAGTGGGCTACAGGCTGGGGTAA